CAAGCAGCAGCTGCTGCTGCCTGCCGTTACAATTTTTCACCCTATTTACTTTCGACCATCTTTTACCCCGCTCCATCGCTTTGTACTTCTCATACAATTAATCCACCAATTGTTTCTCCCGCTTCTGTTACTGTATCGCAATCATTACCATCGATTGCTACTACCGTTATTCCATCAACAACTAACGGTACACCATCATCAACTCCTATAACAGGAAAATCGGCAGTAGCTCCTAAAAAGGGAGGATTCGATGTATCTGATCTCCTTGCATAATCGTGATTATTTTTTTTTTTTTTAAATAATTTTTCTTATTCACGCATTTTTTCTTTTTTTTTTTTTGAATTTTTTATTTATTATCATAAAATTGTCAATAATAAATAAACAAATCGAATTAGTACATAAAACGGGCAAAAAAAAAAAAAATTAAACAATTAGGAATAAAAAGAAAAAAAACGATTGAAATTTTTCAAACAATTGAAATTTAAAATTTGAAATTTTAATGCTTTACAAATTTAAGAATCATAAAATTATTTAGGAAATTTATAGGTAACATGTTTTTATAGCCATTTAATGATAGGAAATATTAAAATATTTTTGTCAAAGTGATAAATTTAAGATTTTTATCACTTATCACTTTTTTTTCAAATTATGTCAAAATAATAGAATAATAATATTATTGATAATTTGGGAAGGAAAAAAGTAAAAGAAATTTCACCTTTTCGAATATTTTAAATTTTAGATTATTAATTAGTTAATTGAAAAAGAAATTTTTCTTTGATTTTATTCTTGTTATTATTTTTGCATAATTACATGATATGCACTGATTATCAGTTGAAATTATTTACTAAAGAAAAGTATGAAATAAAGAAGAAAAAGGACAAAAAAAAAAAATTGAAAATAATGAAGAAAAAATTTTTGTTTAATTAATTAGTCGCTTAATTAATTGATTCATATTTTTAGTTTTCATTTTGTTTCTTTTTATGACTTTCTTTTTTTTAAATGCAATGCTCACATAGCTTTATTGTTTATATAATACAATGTTTTTTCATTTTTTTTTTGTATGTTGTATACATTTTAAAAAGGAATAAAAAAGATTATAATAAAAATTAAGTACCAATTTCAATTGTATACATCAATTCCATTAATGATAATTTCTTATTTCCATTTCATTATCCAAAATAGTGTATTCAATCAAATTTAATTTATAATAAAATGAAATAAATGAAATGCAAAAAAAAAAACGAACAATTTTTTACTGCACATTACCAACAAATAAATGAATATTGAATAGAAAAAAAAATTTGCAAATTTTTAATATTAATTTAAAAATTTTTGAATTTAAACTTTAATTTTGAATTCTCATTTCCTTTTTGATTTAATTCATAAATTAAATTTAAAAGAAAATAATTACCATAAACAGTAAACAGTTGTTTGAGTATTTACAAAATGAAAAAGAAAAATTACAAATTTTTAATATTAATTGAAAAATTTCCAATAAAAGTGTTAATTTTGAAAAATATTTTCAAATAAACAATTTATCAAACAACATATAAATGTATGAATATTTAAAAAAAGAAAAGAAAAAACAAAAGTTTCTTTTTTTCTACAATTCCTTTAATAATAATTAAATGATTTTCAATTTAAATTTAAATTTTAAAATTATTTCAAATAAACCACTTTTTTTCTGTCTTTTATCTATTTTTCGTCATCTCAAAATTTAACATTAAAATTATTTTTGTTAAAAAAAAAAAAATTTCAATTGATAAAAGAAATAATCGAATAATTTGTAGCATTTGCTATATATTATTATTTTTCAAAAATTATATCTGTTATATTTGAAGATCTGAAAGAAGATATGCAAATAAATATGCGACAAGGTTGCTGCATAAAATGCTTCAACAAACCAATACAGTATCCAATTTCAAATTTACATAGATTTTGAAGTAGTAATAGTAGTCGTAGTCGTAGTAGTAGTAGTAGTAGCACTAGTAATGGTAATAGTTTGATGTATATATCAAATCGTTTGCCTAGATTTGTTTACTTGTTCCCAGAAACAAGATTGTATACTAATTCTTAAGTATTCTAACTATAGTATACCAATCATAAATACAAATTATAACTTTCCTCATATTGATTTATTTGTAATATAATATAAAATTTCTTAAAATATTTTTGATAAAAATGAAATAAAACAAAATAAACATTAATAATAGCTAAAACAAATAAACATTAATGATAAATTTCATCTCATATAAATTACTGTTTTAAAAAATACATATTTAATTTACTTGTTCAAAGCAAAACAAGTAAGAGTAAAGTAAACATATATAAAATGATTTTGACAAATATTTTCCGAATATCGCACATCCGATTTTCCGACTATTAAACGATGTATAACAAATTGTCAACAATTTATCAATTTACCTATGTACTAAACATCATCACTTCATCAATTTACCTGTAACACTTGTCAGTTTACCTGTAAAAAAAAACTAAACAATCCATTAATCTACTTGTAAAATAAAAACAAATTCATCAGCCTACCTGTAAAAAAAAAAAGCCAACAGACCATCAATCTACCTGTAAAATACCAACAATGCATTAGTTCATCTATCATGTATCATCAATCCATTAGCGAAAATAAATTTCTTATATTATAATAATGTTATGCTTTAGCAGCATAAAAAAAAAAAAAAAAAAAAAAAAACGGTATTTAATTAATTAATTAATTAATTGGTTAATATGCTACAATCCTTCACCGTAAAATATTTTGTAGAAATATTGAAGACATACGAAAAAAGAGGAAAATAAAAGAATGAAATGAAATATTCTGTAATCATTAAAATTACATCGTATAAAGATATTTTTGCGACTTTTCTATGTTTAATATTAGGAGTAATTTGTAATAGACAAATCCG